GGGGGACATGATAGCAGTGTTCCAATATCTCAGGGGTTGCCATAAAGAAGAGGGAGTCAAGCTATTTTCCAAAGCGCCTGGAGGCAGGACAAGAAGCAATGGGTGGAAACTAATCAAGGAGAGAAGCAACCTAGAACTAAGGAGAAACTTCCTGACAGTGAGAACAATTAACCAGTGGAACAACCTGCCTCCAGAAGCGATGAATGCTCCAACACTGGAAGTTTTTAAGAAGAGACTGGACAGCCATTTGTCCGAAATGATATAGGGTTTCCTGCCTGAGCAGGGGGTTGGACTAGATGACCTTCAAGGTCCCTTCCAACTTTACTATTATTATTATTATTATTATTATAATTATTTATTGAATAAACCCCAAGTGCTTGGATTCACGCACGCTATATTATAACCCGGATTTTACAAACCATAGTGGCTAAGAGTTCCCACACTACCACAATCCAAGCACCTGAACGATGACTTAGTGTCATTATCTGTTAACGACAGCAGTCTTTATCTGCTGTGTTTTTATAATGAATGATTTTAATGTTTTCAATGTCGCTATATTGTAAGCTGCCCAGGGTTGTTGGATACAAGATGGAAGGCAAATAAATATAATTAATTAATTAAATGTCTTTGCCAATCTGACCTTGCATGGAAGAGCTGCAAAGAGAGTGAGCTGTGATTTCAAAATCCACAGCTGAAAGGTGACTTTTGGCCAGGAATAAACAAAGTGGACTTTAGCAAGGGACTCCTACCTTGCTGAATTACATTGCATTCTGTTTATAGAGAATGGTAAAGACTCCAAAAGAATGCTATTTGTTTCCTACTTTGAAAAAAACCTTGAGAGATTATGCATGAATCTCTTCTCTTTCACACCCACACACACACACACACACACAGCACCATCACCACCATTTTATTTCTGTGGCTGCTCTGTGAAATGCCATCAGCAAGATTAGCAAAAATGTTTAAAAACATGTCAGATAGATGTTGGAAGTGCAAACACAAGTCAGGTACTTATTACCATGTTTGGTGGACATGTGCCAAAGCAAAGAGTTATTGGAAAAATATATATACATGGCTAGAAAAGATGTTGGGAAAACATGTAGATTTTAAACCTGAACTTTTTTTATTAGATATAATGCCAGAAAAGACTGATAAACAAAACATATATTTGATTTTACATGTAACAACAGCGGCAAGAATTATATTTGCACAATATTGGAAAAATGAAGGAATACCATCAGATGAAGAAATAATTTTAAAAATACTAGAATGTGCAGAGATGGATAGACTGACTTTGAAAGAAAAAGAAGAAACAGAATATTATCAAACTTGGGACTTGTTTTATCAATGGCTAGAGGAAAGAATAAAGGATTAGGAATTAAATCTGTATTAGTAAATGTAAAACACAGAAAACACATTTGTTGAACAAGTACTATTGAATGTATGAAAAAATCAATAAAAATCTTATTAAAAAGAAAAAAGAAATCCACGAGGCAGAGAAAGATGACTGACCCAAAGCCATTCCAGCCAAAGCTCAGAGCTAAATGGGAATTTGAACTCAGGTCTTCTCAACTGAGGTCCAGCTCTGGTTTTCTGGTATATATAATATGGTAAATATAGTATTAATAAAAGCATAGCCTTAGAAAATCTTTCTTGTTATGACTATCAAGTGCCTACATTGCTGTCCAAACCAAGAGACAGTTGTCATTTAATCATCTTGTCTGGCATAAATACAAATATTGACACAGGAGTTAATAGCCCTTTTCTCTCCAAGGAAGAATTAGGGCATAATTACGTTTGTATTTTGCATGCTAGCTGAGCTCCACCATTCATTTGTAAATGGGTCAGCTATGATCATGTAACTTTGTCTTGTTTTATTCCCTTTGAAACCCTGAGAAAACAATGATACTGTTTGCAAACCATAGCCATTTTCAACACAGTATCTCAATTCACTGAGCAAGGAAGCTGCAAATGTTATTCTAGAAGGGATACATTTTCCTGCCTCTAACTGCTTAAATAGGACAGCTGGTAATCACATCTCTTTTTTTTTTTTGCATTATTGTTGTTGTTGTTGTTGAGGCAGTTGAGACTCATGGCAACTGCCTGAACAAGAAAAACTGCAATTTTCTTGGCAGATTTCCAGAAGTGAATTACCCTTGCCTCTTTCCTAGGGCTGAGAAAGAGAGAAAGTCCGGAGGGCACTGAGCGAGTTTCGTGACTAAAGTGGGACTAGAACTCACAGTCTCTCAGTTTTTAGCCTGGTGCTTTTAATTACTCCACCAATTCAAAGCATTGCAGGGTCTGCAAGTCACTGACAGGGTTAATAATCTCAGAATCAGATTGATATGGGAATCCGTATGGTCTATAATGGTTAAGGGACCAGGTTAAGGAGATGGTGAATTCTAATCCCACTTTAAGGCGTGAAAGCTGGCTGGGTGATTTTGAGCCACTCATTCTTTCTCAGCCCAACCCATCTCACAGGTTTGTTGGTGTGAGGAAAATAGGAAAGGAGGATTAGGCATGCTTGCCACCTTGAGCCCTTTACAAAAATAACAAAAGATTTGATCAGAATTAAAATTAAATAAACATAACCTTTTCTAACTGAATGTCCTCCAAAGGCATGGAACTTCAATCTCACCAAAACGACTAAAGTTGCTGGTTTAAAGTAGGACATTCAACAGGCATTCCCAGATTCATTCTCACAGCATTTAAAAAGAAACAATTTAAACCGAGTTTGATGGTCTAGCAATCCTTGAACAAAACCAAACCAAGGGGGAATTCAAGGTGGCGTATGGTGGGTCTCACTACTTCTATTTTATCTTCCGAGACGGAGTTTTGTGCTACGAGAAATAAATCTGGTGAAAGAAAAGCTGGATATAAAACTAGTAAATTTTAAAAAAAAACCTAAGCGCTAAAAGACTTCCATTTCAGACACGAGTTGAAAAATTAATAAAACACTGTCTTGAAGCATTACTTAAACTACAATCCTTCTCCCCATTTTTCCAGTGAGCTCGGCTAACCTCAGCAGGATTGAGGTTTTGGGGGACAGGCGGTTAAGGGAGAGACGGGAGACGAAAGAGACCAGCTTTACTCTACTTTGAAAATAGCTGCCCTGTTCAATTTTACGACAACAGAGCTCTTTTCGCCATTTCTCCTTAGCTAAAAAAAGGGGGAGCCGATATACACCCAGTAATACCACACCGTTTAAATCCCCGTAAACCCCCCATAAAAGAAGATACCTCTCAAATGTTCCTTTAGCCGAACCTCCGGCAAGCGCTTCAGAGACCACGATCGTCTGACTTGGTTTTGCCGATTTGTTTGCATTGAAAATCTGAAAGTAGGTGGAGTTTACTGCCCTCAGGGCCCGCCCATCCTGCCAACAACCGTTTGTGTGTGATCTGTTGCCTAATAGTTAAAAAAAACCATACTCATTAAACTAGGAGGAGAGACGGTAGATCAAAGATGTGACCGCAAGACCGATGAAGCCGTTGTGCAGAATTGCAACAGAGATGTAGATGATCAAGTCTTCATAAGGCTGGACTACGTGAGTATAAATTTTATATAACGTTAATTATAGTTGTAATTTATATTTTATATTGATTTATAAATTTAATGGAATTTATATTTACAAATTTATAAATATAAAATGGAAAGAGGGATATATAGCTAAAACAGAATACCAGTATATAGTCTGAATCTGCAAGGACGAAGTCAGAAAAGCTAAGTCTCAGAATTAGATTAGAATAGATTAGATTAGATTAGATTAGAATAGAATAGAATAGAATAGAATAGAATAGAATAGAATAGAATAGAATAGAATAGAATTGGAAGGGGCCTTGGAGGTCTTCTAGTCCAGCCCCCTGCTCGAGCAAGAGAACCTATACTATTTCAGACAAATGACTGTCCACCACGATTTCTGAAGGCAAGCTGTTCCAAGTGGGTTAAGTGTCCTCACTGTTAAGAAATTTCTCCTTAATTCCAGGTTGCTTCTCTCTTTGGTCAGTTTCCAACCATTGTTTCTTGTCCTGCCCTCTGGTGCTTTGGAGAATAGCTTGACACCCTCTTCTTTGTGGCAGCCCCTCAAATACTGGAATACTGCTATCATGTCGCCCCTATTTCTTCTTTTCTTTAGACTAGCCAAACCCAAGTCCTACAGCCATTCTTCATATGTTTTAGTCTCCAGGCCTTTGATCATTTTAGTTGCTCTTTTCTGAACTTTTTCCAAGGTTTCAACATCTTTTTTGTAGTATGGTGACCAAAATTGGTTGCAGTATTCCAGATGCGGTCTTACTAGGGTTTTATAAAGTGGTACTAATACTTCACATGATCTTGATTTTATGCCTCTGTTTATACAACCCAGGATTGTATTAGCTTTTTTGGCTGCTGCTGCATACTGCTGGCTCATAGTCAAGTGATTGTCCACTAGGACTCCAAGGTCCCTCTCACAGTTACTATTTTTGAGCCAGGTCTCACCTAATCTGTACTTGTATCTTTGATTTTTCCTGCCTAAATGTAAAACTTTGTTTTCTTCCACTTTAAAATTCATTTTGTTGGATAGGGCCTATTGTTCAAGTTTATCAAGATCTTTTTGGATCCTGAGCTTATCTTCTGGGGTGTTGGCTATTCTTGCCAGTTTAGTGTCATCTGCAAATTTGATGAGTTCCCCTTCTATTCCCTCATCTAAGTCATTAATGAAGATATTGAAGAGTACTGGGCCTAAGAAGAAGCCTTGTGGTATCCCACTGCTTACTTCTCTTCATGTGGACTACTCGCTGAATACGGTTTGCCAGCCAGCTACAGATCCATCTCATGGTGTTGTTATCTATCTCATCTTTTTCTAGCTTACTAGGCAGCAGGTTGTTGTCTACTTTGTCAAATGCCTTACTGAAATCTAAGTGTACTATGACCACAGTGTTTCGCTGGTCTACTAATTTAGTCACTTTATCAAAGAATGAAATAATATTGGTTTGGCATGATCTGTTTTTGACAAACCCATGCTGGCTACTGGTTATACCTTAGTTTGTTTCTAGTTGTTCACAGATTTTTTTTATTATCTTTTCCAGGATCTTCCCAGGTATTGATGTTAGACAGATTGGTCTGTAGTTTCCTGGGTCTGTTTTTTTTTTCCCCTTTCCTGAAGATGGGAACCACATCAGCCCTTTCCCATCATCAGATACTTCCCCAGTGCTCCAGGATTTTTGAAAGATATAGTGCAATGGTTCTAACATCTGCCTCTGGGATGTAATCTGTTGGGTCCCGGTGATTTATATTCGTCAAGGTCAGATAGGTGTTCTCTTACCATTTTCTTTCTTATTTTGATTTTAATTTTTGTTTCTAGTTTGTCTTTTTTGGTATGTTGGGCTATAATTTCTTTTTGTGTGAAGACTGATGCAAAGAATGAGTTAAGGAGCTCTGCTTTCTCTCTACTGCCTATTACTTCCTTGCCATCTTCTCTCTTTAGTAGACATACAGTTTCCTTGACTTTTTTCTTGTTATTAATATGTTGGAAGAAACTTTTTTTTATTCGTCCATTCTGAGTCTTTGCTTTCCTGACTTCATCTTTGCATGTTCTGGCTGTCTGCTGATAATCGGCCTTAGTTATGTGTCGCTCTTTTCCATTTTTTTGTACTTGTCCTTTTTGTCTTTCAGTTTGTCAGAGAGAGCTTTGTTCAGCCATGCTGGTTTCTTCTTGAATTTCTTGTTTTTTTCAGTGGTATTGTGCTGGACTGAGCTTTATGATCGCATTTTTCAGAGTTTCCCACGCTTCTTGGGTTGTTTTCCCCTTTAGGATTTTTGTCCATGGAATCTTTCCTAGGTTCTCTCTGAGTTTGTTAAAAATCAGCTCTTTTGAAGTTTAAGACTCTGTTTGGATTATTTTCTATTGTTTGTGTTTGCATTATATTGAATTTCAGGTTCCGGCAACTTCAACTCCTTCTATCACTTCTTCTTGATTAGTAAGGATTAGGTCCAGTATACCTTTACTTCTGGTTCCCTTCTCTACCTTTTGGATGATAAAGTTGTGGGCTCAGACTTCCGGTGGCAGGCGCCTTCGCTGGACGCAGCTGTTTGCTGCTCCCGCCTGTTTCTGCGTAAAAGCCGTTTTGACAGCCTGCATCAGCTGTCAAACGGCTTGATACTTTTTCCCTGGGCATAGGGGGAAAGGTGAGCTGCCCGAGGTAGGAGTTGAGTTCCCGAGTCGTCCCTTGTGGACGATGTAGGTGAGAACTCCTCCGGAGCCTCGGGATTCTCCGCGATCCAGGACGTCTTCGCTATAAGCGAAGCTAGAAGCTGCCGTCACCGCTGCAACTTAAAGACAACTGTGAGTTCTGTATAAAGCAGACGAACCGACCCTGGAAGTCTGTTTTTTAACTTTTGGACTATACTCTAACTTGGATAATATATTCTTCTCGTACTTGGCTTGGAATGTGGAAAGTGAACTTAAAATGGCGATGATTTGATACTTTTCAGCAAGAAGTGAAAGTGATTTCCGGTTTGAACTTTTGCTATTTCTAACCGGCGCATTACAT